GCAGGGCTTGCAAACTATTAGAGACTACAAAGGGAAGCACAGCCGCGAGCTGCCCAGTGACACAAGCCTACCAGACGAGCTAAATCACTTCTATGCTCGCTTTGAGGCAAGCAACACTGAACCATGCATGAGAGCATAAGCTGTTCCGGACGACTATGTGATCACGCTCTCCGTAGCTGACGTGAGTATGACCTTTCAACAGGTCAACATTCACAAGGCCGCAGGGCCATACGGATTACCAGGACGTGTACTCAGAGCATGCACCGACCAACTGGCAAGTGTCTTCACTGACATTTTCAACCTGTCCCTGACTGAGTCTGTAATACCAACATGTTTCAAGCAGACCACCATAGTCCCTGTGCCCAATAACACTAAGGTAACCTGCCTAAATGACTACAGACCAGTAGGACTCACGTCTGTAGCCATGAAGTGCTATGAAAGGCTGGTCATGGCTCACATCAACACCATTATCCCAGAAACCCTAGACCCACTCCAATTTGCATACCGCCCCAACAGATCCACAGATGATGCGCCCCAACAGATCCACAGATGATGCAATCTCTATTGCACTCCACACTGCCCTTTCCCACCTGGACAAAAGGAACACCTACGTGAGAATGCTATTCATTGACTACAGCTCAGTGTTCAACACCATAGTGCACTCAAAACTAATCACTAAGCTAAGGACCCTGGGACTTAACACCTCCCTCTGCAACTGGATCCTTGACTTCCTGACGGGCCGCCCCCAGGTGGTAAGGGTAGGTAACAACACATCTGCCACGCTGATCCTCAACACGGGGGCCCCTCAGGGGTGCGTGCTCAGTCCCCTCTTGTACTCCCTGTTCACCCATGACTGCATGGCCAGGCACGACTCCAACACCATCATTAAGTTTGCCGATGACACAACAGTGGCAGGCCTGATCACCGACAACGATGAGACAGCCTATAGGGAGGAGGTCAGAGACCTGGCCATGTGGTGCCAGGATAACAAGCTCTCCCTCAACTTGATCAAGACAAAGGAGATGATTGTGGACTACAGGAAAATAAGGACCGAGCACGCCCCCATTCTCATCGACGGGGCTGTAGTGAAGCAGGTTGAGAGCTTCAAGTTCCTTGGTGTCCACATCACCAACAAACTATCATGGTCCAAACACACCAAGACAGTCGTGAAGAGGGCACGACAAAGCCTATTCCCCCTCAGGAGACTGAAAAGATTTGGCATGGGTCCTCATATCCTCAAAATGTTCTACAGCTGCACCATCGAGAGCATCCTGACTGGCTGCATCACTGCCTGGTATGGCAACTGCTCAGCCTCCGACCGCAAGGCACTACAGAGGGTACATCACTGTGGCCAAGCTTCCTGACATCCAGGACCTCTATACCAGGCGCCCTAGTCATTGACTGTTCTCTCTGCTACCGCACGGCAAGCGGTACTGGAGCGCCAAGTCTAGGTCCAAAAGGCTTCTTAACAGCTTCTACCCCCAAGCCATAAGACTCCTGAACAGCTAATCAAATGGCTACCCAGACTATTTGCATTGTCCCCTTTTACACTGCTGCTACTCTCTGTTTATTATCTGTCACTTTATAGTCATTTTAACTATACCTACATGTACATATTACCTCAGTTACCTCGACTAACCGGTACCCCCTGTAAATAGCCTCGCTACTGTTATTTTTACTGTTATTGTACTGCTTTTATTTTTTACTTATCTATTGTTTACTTAACACTTATTTTTCTTAAAACTGCGTTGTTGGTTAAGGGCTTGTAAGTAAGCATTTCACTGTAAGGTCTACACCTGCTGTATTCGGTGCATGTGACAAATAAAATTTGATTTGATTTGACTTCGTCACAGGGAATGTCCGAACTGACCAATCAGCGTGGCTTTGAATGTTGCTAGGTTGAAAGAAACAGGGAGGGACCTACCTGAATTTTTCCAATAGAAATTCTCGTTTTCGTTGCAAAACGTTTTCCATTTGGTGTAAGTGGTTTCTGTTGCAACAGACGAAAAGTTTTGCAAAGGAATCGGCATAATGAATACACCCCTGGTTCTAACATGCATCCTGTGTCCTTGTCCACATTCTGATTGTGCCCATATTTTCAGACGTGTCTGCACATGGTGTTAAAATGTATTTTATCCATCCACTGTGTACGCATTGTGACCAGCTTTCCCGGCCCTCCTGTAGGAAGCATAGCCTGTTGATGCCATAAGCTGTAATTGATTTTAGAGGGCAGTATAATAATTTCAATGGATTCACAGTCCAGAGCCGTCTACACTTGTAAGATATCCAGACAATGCGTGCCTGACTACCTCCGGAGATAGGCAGGAGGATCTGATCACATTCAGATCACAATGCATCTTAGTTTTTTAACCCCATTTCCGTGATATCCAATTGGTAGTTACAACCTTGTCTCATCGCTGCAACTCCCCAACGGGCTCGGGAGAGGCGAAGGTTGAGACATTGGCGTGGCTTGGCGGGTCATGTTTCCGAGGACCGAACTCAGCTTGCGGACGCCCGACACAAGGAGTCGCTAGAGCGCAATGAGCCAAGGAAAGCCCACTAGCCAAACTCACCCCTAACCCGGACGGCGCTGGGCCAATTGCGTGATACAGTGCCTTAGACCACTGTACCACTCGGGAGGCCACAATGCATCTTTTAATCATCTACTCCTGTCTTAAAATGTGAACACAATCAGAATGTGGATAAGATCAGGACAAAGGACACATGATAGAACCAGGTATAAACTGGGCTATAATGGCTGCATTTACACAGGCAACCCAATTCTGATAATATTTCCACTAATTGGTCTTCTGAACAATCACATCAGACCTATTCACTTAAAATACCAATTAGTGAAAAAAATGATCAGAATTAGGCTGCCTGTGTAAATGTAGGCAATTAACCTTATGTATATGTTGGGTTGGTGAGATCTAATATTATGGTTTCCATAGACTCAGTAAAATAGATGGTGGATGGAGATTTGGATGTTTATTACTGTGAAATGTGTTTCTCGCAGGCTTCCACATAGGCGTCTCATCTCATTCTTCACAAAAGATTTGTAGTTATTACGTAATCAGCCTTTACCATGTCAGTGAGATAAACAGTACTTCTCTTGAATTACTTCCATATCTGTAATAGCTATACATAGCATTAGTTCCTTATTTGGCAAAAATAACACGCACACACACCTTTGTTTTCAATGATCCTCATAGAAAGAACAATTCTAGAATTCCTTGTAAACTCAGCCTTGTGTTAAACCCTTCATCATGACAAATATTGTAGTTTAACAGTGGATTCAGTGGTGTGTAATGTGACATCAAGTGTGAGTCTGAACCCTTCATGATGCTCAGTTTAAGTCTAAGACTTTACATTTTTCCAGCATATATTCATGGAGGACTAGTAAAAAAAAACAATGCATTTAATTTTCCATTATACACATACACTGAGTGTACAAAACATTAGGAACATTAGGGCGCTTATCTAATTGCAATGCACCGATATCACCCACGCAAAGCAACAGAATAACAGTTCTGATTAGAGTTTCATTGCACTTCCGGTTCCATGTCCTGGTGCATGTTCTTCCCATGACAGACTGACCAGGTGAATCCATATCATCCCTTATTGATGTCACATGTTAAATCCACTTCAATCAGTGTAGATGAAGGGGAGGAGACAGGTTAAACAATATTTTAAAGCCTTGAGACAATTGAGACATGGATTGTGTCTGTGCCATTTCAGCGGGTGAGAGGGCAAGACAAACAATTCAAGATCTGCAACGCTGTTGGGTTTTTCCACGTTCAACAGTTTCCCTGTGTATCAAGAATGGTCCACCACCCAAAGGGCATCCAGCCAACTTGACACAACTGTGGGAAGCATTAGAGTCAACAAGGGCCACATCCCTGTGGATGCTTTCGACACCTTGTAGAGTTCATGCCCCGACGACTTGAGGCTGTTCTGAGGGCAATAGGGGGTGCCACTCAGTATACTGAACAAAAATGTAAATGCAACATGTATAGTGTTGGTCCCATGTTTCATGAGCTGAAATAAAATATCCCAGAAATGTTCCATATGCACAAAAAGCTTATTTCCCTCAAATTGTGTGTTGGTGAGGAGTATTTCTGTCCTGTAATAAAGCCCTTTTGTGGGGAAAAACTCATTCTGATTGGCTGGGCCTTGCTCCCCATTGGGTGGGCCTGGCTGCGTTCATTGCCCAGTCATGTGAAATTAATAAATTAGGGCCTAATGAATTTATTTAAATAGACTGATTTCCTTCTGCAACTAAGTAAAATCTTTGAAATGGTTGCATGTTGCGTTAAATTTTTTGTTCCGTATAGCTTTCATTCTCCATTTGATATAATAATACTAAAAGCTATTATTTTGTCAATCAATCTTTAACTCTTGACTTGGACAACCTGTAGTCAGGTGTAAGGTTGCTGTGGGGTTAAAGACAGAAAGAGCACCACTGTAAAGTAAATGTACCTTAAACACACACACACATGTCCAAAAGGCTCCTTAACAGCTTCTACCCCCAAGCTATAAGACTGCTGAACACCGGGACTATTTACATTGACCCCTCCCCCCTTTGTTTTTACACTGCTGCTACTCGCTGTTTATTATCTATGCATAGTCACTTACCCCAACCTACATGTACAAACTACCTCGACTAACCTGTACCCCCGCACATTGACTCGGTACCGGTACCCCCTGTATTGGATAAAAGCGTCTGCTAAATGGCTTATTATATTATATGATATATTGCCTCGTTTTTGTTATGTCATTTTATTCTGTTACTTTTTATTTTATTTAGTAAATATTTTCTTAACTTTCTTGAACTGCATTGTTGGTTAAGGGCTTGTAAGTAAGCATTTCACGGTAAGGTCTACTACACCTGTTGTATTCGGCGCATGTGACAAATACAATTTGATTTGATTTGACAAACACACACACGCACACAGCGAAGGCACAGGTGATGTAGTGTATCTGCACTGATGCTGTGCTAGTCACACCCTGACGTGGATCTGCTTGCGGTAGAACTCATAGTCCTCTGGTACAGTATCTGATAAGATAGAAAGAAAGATTATAACACAACCAGGAAGCTATAACCATTTCAATGTAATAAATTCAAGAGGTTAAATTCCAATTCAAGAAAATTCTGTTCTGAGAGGGTTGACATACCGTTGCAGCGATAGCCCAGGTTGGACCAGATGATTTGCTCCTGGGAGAAGCAGAAGACGCCCAGCCTCCCGCCCCTCATTGAGGTGTCCACCACCATGCCCGAGTCTGCCACCAATGTCATGCCTTCATACAGCCTCACGCTGTGGCATAGATATACACAATGAAGAGCCGTACAGATCTCTCTCTATCATCTGAATTATATACAGATACTGTATAGCCATCAAGAGTTATAGATCTATCTCTATTCAGTAAACGGCTCAATGAAACAGTGAGGAAGGCCCTACTTCATAAACGTCCATCTTCTCTAACTTTGCTGTTGAATTATAGACACCTGAGTTGCCTAACCCATTCACAGGATTGGTTAACTCTTGATGTTCCTAGGGCCTCCACCAAGCGTATGTATGTATGTACAGTTGAAGTCAGAAGTTTACATACACTTATGTTGGAGTCATTGAAACTCGTTTTTCAACCACTCCACAAATTTCTTGTTAACAAACTATAGCTTTGGCAAGTCGGTTAAGACATCTACTTTGTGCATGACACAAGTCATTTTTCCAACAATTGTTTACAGACAGATTATTTCACTTATAATTCACTGTATCACAACTCCAGTGGGTCAGAAGTTTACATACACTAAGTTGACTGTGCCTTTTAAACAGTTTGGAAAATTCCAGAAAGTGATGTCATGGCTTTAGATGCTTCTGATAGGATAATTGACATCATTTGAGTCAATTGGAGGTGTACCTGTGGATGTATTTCAAGGCGTACCTTCAAACTCAATGCCTCTTTGCTTGACATCATGGGAAAATGAAAAGAAATCAGCCAAGACCTCAGAGAAATTTATTTTGACCTCCACAAGTATGGTTCATCCTTGGGAGCAATTTCCAAACGCCTGAAGGTACCACGTTCATCTGTACAAACAATAGTACGCAAGTATAAACACCATGGGACCACGCAGCCGTCAAACCGCTCAGGAAGGAGACACGTTCTGTCTCCTAGAGATTAACATACTTTGGTACGAAAAGTGCAAATCAATCCCAGAACAACAGCAAAGGACCTTGTGAAGATGCTGGAGGAAACAGGTACAAAAGTATCTATATCCACAGTAAAACAAGTCGTATATTGACATAACCTGAAAGGCCGCTCAGCAAGGAAAAAGCCACTGCTCCAAAACCGCCATAAAAAAGCCAGACTACGGTTTGCAACTGCACATGAGGACAAAGATTTGTACTTTTTGGAGAAATGTCCTCTTGTCTGATGAAACAAAAATAGAACTGTTTGGCCATAATGACCATTGTTATGTTTGGAGCAAAAAGGCAGCAGCTTGAAGCACGGGGGTGGCAGCATCATGCTGTGGGGGTGCTTTGCTGCAGGAGGGACTGGTGCACTTCACAAAATAGATGGCATCATGAGGAAGGAAAATTATGTGGATATATTGAAGCAACATCTCAAGACATCAGTCAGGAAGTTAAAGCTTGGTCGCAAATGGGTCTTCCAAATGGACAATGACCCCAAGCAAAATGGCTTAAGGACAACAAAGTCAAGGTATTGGAGTGGCCATCACAAAGCCCTGACCTCAATCCTATAGAACATTTGTGGGCAGAACTGAAAAAGCATGTTCGAGCAAGGAGGCCTACATACAAACCTGACTCAGTTACACCAGCTCTGTCAGGAGGAATGGGCCAAAATTCACCCAACTTATTGTGGGAAGCTTGTTGAAGGCTACCCGACACGTTTGACCCAAGTTAAACAATTTAAAGGCAATGCTACCAAATACTAATTGAGTGTATGTAAACTTCTGACCCACTGGGAATGTGATGAAATAAATAAAAGCTGAAATAAATAATTCTCTCTACTATTATTCTGACATTTCATATTCTTAAAATAAAGTGGTGATCCTAACTGACCTAAGACAGGGAATTTTTACTAGTATTAAATGTCAGGAATTGTGAAAAACTGAGTTTAAATATATGTGGCTAATGTGTATGTAAACTTCCGACTTCAACTGTATGTACAGTGGTGTGAAAAAGTGTTTGCTCCCTTCCTGATTTCTTATTTGTTTGCATGTTTGTCACACTTAAATGTTTCAGATCAAACTAATTTAAATATTAGTCAAAGATAACACAAGTAAACACAAAATGCAGTTTTGAAATGAAGGTTGTTATTATTAAGGGAAAACAAAATCCAAACCCACATGGCCCTGTGTGAAAAAGTGATTGCCCCCTACAACCTAATAACTGGTTGGGCCACCCTTAGCAGCAACAACTGCAATCAAGCGTTTGCGATAACTTGCAATGAGTCTTTTACAGCGCTGTGGAGGAATTTTGGCCCACTCATCTTTGCAGAATTGTTGTAATTCAGCCCAATTGGAGGGTTTTCGAGCATGAACTGCCTTTTTAAGGTCATGCCACAGCATCTCAATAGGATTCAGGTCAGGACTTTGACTAGGCCACTCCAAAGTCTTCATTTTGTTTTTCTTCAGCCATTCAGAGGTGGACTTGCTGGTGTGTTTTGGATCATTGTACTGCTGCAGAACCCAAGTTCGCTTCAGCTTGAGGTCACGAACAGATGGCCGGACATTCTCCTTCAGGATTTTTTGGTAGACAGCAGAATTCATGGTTCCAGTTATCACAGCAAGTCTTCCAGGTCCTGAAGCAGCAAAACAGGCCCAGACCATCACACTACCTCCACCATATTTTACTGTTGGTATGATGTTCTTTTTCTGAAATGCGGTGTTACTTTTACGCCAGATGTAATGGGACACACACCTTCCAAAAAGTTCAACTTTTGTCTCGTCAGTCCACAGAATATTTTCCCAAAGGTCTTGGGGATCATCAATATGTTTCCTGGCAAAAATGAGACGAGCCTTAATGTTATTTTTGCTCAGCAGTGGTTTTCGTCTTGGAACTCTGCCATGCAGGCCATTTTTGCCCAGTCTCTTTCTTATGTTGGAGTCATGAACACTGACCTTAACTGAGGCAAGTGAGGCCTGCAGCTCTTTGGATGTTGTTGTGGGGTCTTGGATGAGTCGTCGCTGCGCTCTTGGGGTAATTTTGGTCGGCCGGCCACTCCTGGGAAGGTTCACCACTGTTCCATGTTTTCGCCATTTGTGGATAATGGCTCTCACTGTGGTTCGCTGGAGTCCCAAAGCTTTAGAAATGGCTTTATAACCTTTTCCAGACTGATGGATCTCAATTACTTTCTTTCTCATTTGTTCATGAATTTCTTTGGATCTCGGCATGTCTAGCTTTTGAGGATCTTTTGGTCTACTTCACTTTGTCAGGCAGGTCCTATTGAAGTGATTCCTTGATTGAGAACAGGTGTGGCAGTAATCAGGCCTGGGTGTGGCTAGAGGAATTGAACTCAGGTGTGATAAACCACAGTTGAGTTGTGTTATAACAGGGGGGGCAAACACTTTTTCACACAGGGCCATGTAGGTTTGGATTTTGTTTTCCCTTAATAATAACAACCTTCATTTCAAAACTGCATTTTGTGTTATCTTTGACTAATATTTAAATAATAATAATAATAAGTATTATTATTATTATTAAAAAATAGTAAAAATAAAGAAAACCCCTTGAATGAGTAGGTGTGTCCAAACTGCTGGTCTGCTGAGGAGTATTTCTGTCTGTAATAAAGCCCTTTTGTAGGGAAAAACTCATTCTGATTGCTGGGCCTGACTCCCCAGTGGGTGGGCCTGGCTGACAAGTGGTTGGGCCTATGCCCACCCATGGCTGCACCCCTGCCCAGTGATGTGAAATCCATAGATTAGGGCCTAATGAATTTATTTCAATTGACTGACTTCTTTGAAATTGTTGAATGTTGCATTTATATTTTTGTTCAGTATATATACTTTTTTTGGTGTGTAAAATGTGTATATTTATAGGTCTCAAGATCTCAATATTAAAATAAAGGTTAAATAAAAAATTAAATAAAATTGGCAGGAGAATACAACTAGGAGTGGAGCATTTGTGGCTGTAATGCCCTTTGAAGTTTTGCTCACTTGATATAGCCCACCTGCGGGCGGTGGCTGAGGTGCCAGCGGTAGGATGTCTTGTCCTTCCAGCCCACATTCCGGGGGTCCTTCCACAGCAGGGTGACCTCACCTGGGGTGTCGCCCGTGTGCCACAGGGCGTTACGGAGGTACTCGCCTGGACCCGTACGTGACTTCACTGCCTGTAGAGAAAAGGGAGTAAAGTCACGTGTGTGGCTGGGGTTTTCTAAGATCTATTACATTTGGAGTTGAGGCATGTAGCTGGAACTACACAACTGGATGGTGTGGGATATGGACTCCTATTGACATAAGACTACTTTGAAGGTTTGAAAACATCTGACAAACTTCTGATGTTTGAGTGTAATGTCCCTTTAAAACCAACTGGTGTAATTTCCTGTGTGCCCCACCTTCAGTTGCAGGCCTGGCTGGGCCATGGCGCTAAAAGGCAGCGACTGCCAGTAGGTCTGCTCCGTCTGTTTCCACATGACCACGTAGAAGCTGGACGAGTCCTGGTAGCCGAAGATGAAGCCCACGTAGTCATCATCTGTGGCCGTGTTGATGTGGAACGTCCCCTCAAAGTCTACCCCGTTAAAGGCTGTATAGCCTGGTGGGGATCGGGTGGAGGGAGAGAGCGAGATACTTGATTTTTCATGCTCTTTTATGAGACATCTTCACTTAAAAAGGAGATAAGGTGGGATAAAGAGAGGGGGGAGGAGCAGAGAAATACAGACAGAAAGATACACAGAGCGGCAGAAGGAGGTTTACAGACTTACCTATGGCCAAACCAGGGTCACTGTTCATGGTTTGAACAATTTCCATACCCTAAAATTAAATTCCAGAACAATGCTAAATTAATTTAAGTACATACAATATAATGTTTGTTTTCTAGATGGGAATATTCCAAATGGTCACCCGATTGAGCACTATCCAGTTGGGGTCGATTTGGGCATCGCCCTCCGGGTCCAGGATGACCGTCTGATAGGCTCTGAAGTCGGTCATTGTGACTTCAGCGCTCTCTGGACACACGTCAATCAAGTCGATCACTGAGTCGTTGTCAAAGTCATTCTCGCACATGTCACCAACGCCATTTCCTGATTGGATAAGGGAGACACAAAAATACACAAACATATACCACTCTGAGATCACAGATGGGGATGGGACTATAGAGAAAATAGGTTACTGTAGTATGACATACAGTATAGTTTAGGACAAACAAACATAGGTGGCCTGTGGTAGTTTGTCAGAAGGCCAATAAAATGCCAAAACATTTCAAACAGAATGCGAAATTCTACTTTTAACTTTATTTCCAGTAAAAAGTGCTACCCCTCTGTGCGTGTCTGGAAAGTTACAGATTGGGCCTTTTTAATCCTGTTAACCTTTTCACATGTGAGTTTCAACTATCTCGAAAGGTCGCCCCAGTGTGAGTTTTTTTATGCACGTGATGTCAGAATGCACTCACTTGTTCCAAAATGAGATTGTTACGCAACTGGACAGTTAACCCACGCTGCCCTCAAACCAAGACACGCTGCCTGCTAATTATTTATAGGCTGTTTTAACTAGTCAATTTCAAATTATTTTCTAACGAGTTTTATTTTCTAACAGTTTGAATTGAGGTGTGTTCCGCATCCTCATTAATTCACATAGAAGTAGCCCATTTCACTGTTGCGGACAATTTACGTTTGAGGCTTTACTGAGCAGGACAAACTTCTCTCTTCAATGTGAGCCCAAGCACAAACTTTTTCCCTCCCTGGCACATTTTCCGGCTGGCGCCCACATTGTCTTCACTACTAATAATAACTTTGGACGTGTGCCTTATTACGCTATCATTATAGTTTCTGTATATCGTGTTGTCGTTTCTGCTGTAGCACACCGTAAGTATGGTGCATAATGTATTTACTGTTTAATTAACGTTTTCAAGTACTGGTGACAAATCATGCATTCCGATTCTTGCATAGATTGTAATGGACACATATGATGTGTGTAAAATACTTTTTTGAAGGTTGTACTGATTATGATGAGCTAATTTTAAGCTAATTGCCAGCTATGTGTGGCACCATGTTTGTTGACCTCATACAATGCATTCACGTAAAGGCCTGTCAGACCAAAGATGTTATAGCAAAACGAGGTGAAGGGATGGTTCACTCGTCTTTCGAGTAAACCTCCGGAAGTGAATGATGTTAGACGACACACCCCCTTTAACATGCATACTGCAAACAGACCCAACTCATCTTGTAACCTCTTTATCTTTGGGTGACGCGAACAAACACACATGGCAGCGCGCACAAACTACCCATCGTCTGATAACTTTAGATTTTTAGAAAGGGTTTTACTCAATTATTTCGATCACTGGTGAGGTCACCCGTGATGTGATGAATTGTAAATAGTAATTGCTATTAGCTAATTCATATTATGGTTTCTGTCAGCCGAGAGTTAGCTAAATATGACCGATTGTGTTAGGTCACTCTTTCCTTAGTTAGCGCTAAGACTAATATGGCCAGCTCAAACACTGGCTGTTGCGTCAATCGTAACGTTCTAAATAAGTGTTCTAATCACACCGGTTTGAGCATACGCTGCAGGGACCACTGTAGAATGATCACACCCATGTGTTTGTACGTGTCAAAGGGTTAAAACAAAGCATTTCTTTCCATGTGACTCCTTCCATACCATCAGTGTCTGTCTGGCTGGGGTTAGGGATGAGACGGCAGTTATCTGGCCCGGGAGGTCTCGTATCTGGAATGCCATCATTGTCGTCGTCATCGTCGCATTCGTCACCGATGCCGTCGTTGTCTGAGTCCAGCTGGGAGCTGTTAGGGACGTCTGGACAGTTGTCCCTGGAGTCCTGGTGGCCATCCCCATCCCTGGACAAGACCGGGACATTAGGAACAGGCTCATTGGCCCAGCAGGCAAGACTGGTTGCAATGATGTCAGTCTGACATTTGTTTTGACAGTCAGGTTGTATACTTACTGTAAAATTATGTTTTTACATATCTTTTTAGCTACAAGAAAAAGACAGCTTTACCTGGTTCAGCCTGGTTGTCATCTGGTTATATAACCAGATAACAACCCCAAAATGATGATCTAGGATGGGGCGGCAGGTAGCTTAGTGGTTAAGAGCGTAGTGCCAGTAACCGAAAGGTCGCTGGTTCTAATCCCCGAGCCGACTAGGTGAAAAAATCTGTCGATGTGCCCTTGAGCAAGGCACTTAACCCTAATTGCTCCTGTAAGTCGCTCTGGATAAGAGCGTCTGCTAAATGACAAAAAAAAAAAAAAAAAAAAAAAAAAAAAAAAAAAAAAACCTCTTTATCTGGTTCTGAAGTCCCCTAAACCAGAAAACTAGTAAGATCACTCACATGTCCTGGTTGGTGTCACACACATCTCCCACTAGGTCGTTGTCCATATCAGACTGAATGGAGAAAAGAGGTTTCAAAGATTTCCTCAATAAACTATATTTTTATTTCAACTCTCTTAAATGTTATTCTTGACCTCTGACCTGCATGGGGTCGTTGACTTCTGGGCAGCTGTCACAGGCATCCCCCACTCGATCCCCGTCACGGTCAGTCTGCATAGGGTTGGGCACCTTGGGACAGTTGTCCAGCACGTTTGGGATACCTGGCGAGAGGACGAGAAGGAGGAAGATGAGAATTCAATGACGGTCTTGGGCCCGTATTCACAAAGTGTCTCAGAGTAGAGTGCTGATGATCTAGGATGAAGTCCTCCCTGTTCATATACTCTTATTCATTATGATCTGAAAGGCAAAAGTGATCCTATATCAGCACTCCTACTCTGAGATTCTTTGTGAATACGGGCCCAGGAGGGCCGAAACACTTCAGTTTTCCATTCTCTCCATCTATTCAGGAACTAAATCAAACAAGGAACACAATCAATAATATGAATCAATCAATTAACTACCAGGTGGGAAAAAACCAGAGCAGTACTTTTGTCCTTGTGGGACAGTAATTGAATAGCCCTGTCCTAAGCGATCCATAGCCTACCATCCCCATCAATGTCATTGTCACAGGTGTCCCCAGCCCCGTTTCCGTCTGTGTCCTTCTGGCTGCTGTTGGGAACATTGGGGCAGTTGTCACACGCGTCCCCATATGAGTCTGTGTCCGAGTTCTGTTGATCCTTGTTGGGGACCAGACGGCAGTTGTCCTAGAAAAACAAAGAGGAAAAACTAAATGGTGTGAAGTGGAATCAGGGAGATTCCATTTTGCCTAATGAACATGACCACACACCGACAGAATACAAGCACAGAGTTTCTAAACCCAGAGGCGCAACATCGCAAGACTTCCGGGAACGCTTGCGAAACAGACCAAACAGACCAGGCCATGGTTTGAAGAGTCAATGAGAGAAGTGAAACATTCTTCCTTACTTGTTAATTTTCTCAAAATGTAAAGGCACAACCTTGATTCGAGCCAATGTCTTAAGTAGTTGAACATGTTATTACTTCAACCTTGTGAAATTGACAAACTGACACAATTGAATTTTCGTCAAAAACTTTATATTGAAGAAGTAGCTTTGATTTGACGGCCTGCACATGCACAGTTCGGCATGAGACGACCGTTAGACCCGATGACATGTTTCTACGCATGAGCTAGGCAACGTCGCGATGACATCGCCTACAAGTGTGATCTGGGATTTCTGTTGGAGAAACAGTTTTAGCCTATCTTCATCCTGTACTGTCTTTGATACAAGGCTAGACTGACCTCCATGTTCTTGATGCTGTCTCCGTCCGCATCTTCATCACACTGGTCACCTATACCATCTCCGTCTGCGTCCTCCTGGCCAGAGTTGGGCGTGTTCACACAGTTGTCCTGCATAGGGAACACAACACATGATGATTGTGGTAAATTAGACATTTTGTTAGTGTTTTGTGTGTGTGTGTGTGTGTGTAACATGCTTACGGCTCGGCAGTGATAGTCATTGTCTATGCAGGGGAGAGGCTGGTCAGGGTAGCCATCGATGTCTGTGTCTGGACCACATGTATGCCCATTACCTGCCCAGCCCACATTACACTGGAAGGGAATCAAAGAGATATTCAGAGAGAATATACTAAGTGGTAAAAAATTTGAACATGATTTCTTAATGATGTCATACTGTATAACCAGAAAACAACCAACTGGTCTCTGTTACAACCAGATAAAGACGTATTTTCCATGACAACACGTTTTATTATCTAGAAAGACGGTTTCTTTCTTGTTGCTAAAAAGACATTGAAAGGATAGTTCCCCCAAATTTCAAAATGACATATTGGTTTCCTTACCCTGTAAGCAGTGTAGGGACAAGGTACAGTGGCTTGTGAAAGTCTTCACCCCTCTTGGCATTTTTCCTATTTTGTTGCCTTACAACCTGGAATTTAAATGGATTTTGGGGGGGTTTGTATCATTTGATTTACACAACATGCCTACCACTTTGAAGATGCAAAATATTTTTTCTTGTGAAACATACAAGAAATAAGACAAAAAAACAGAAAACTTGAGCGTGCATTACTGTTCACCCCCCCAAAGTCAATACTTTGTAGAGCAACCTTTTGCAGCAATTACAGCTGCAAGTCTCTTGGGGTACTTTGTAGAGCAACCTTTTGCAGCAATTACAGCTGCAAGTCTCTTGGGGTATGTCGCTATAAGCTTGGCACATCTAGCCACTGGGATTTTTGTCCATTCTTCAAGGCAATACTGCTCCAGCTCCTTCAAGTTGGATGGGTTCAGCTGGTGTACAGCAATCTTTAAGTCATACCACAGATTTTCAATTGGATTGAGGTCTGGGCTTTGACTAGGCCATTCCAAGACATCTAAATGTTTCCCCTTAAACCACTCAAGTGTTGCTTTAGCAGTATGCTTAGGGTCATTGTCCTGCTGGAAGGTGAACCTCCGTCCCAGTCTCAAATTACTGGAAGACTGAAACAGGTTTCCCTCAAGACTTTCCCTGTATTTAGCGCCATCCATCATTCCTTAAATTCTGATCAGTTTCCCAGTCCCTGCCGATGAAAAACATCCCCACAGCATGATGCTGCCACCAACATGCTTCACTGTGGGGATGGTGTTCTTGGGGTGATGAGAGGTGTTGGGTTTGCGCCAGACATAGCGTTTTCCTTAATGGCCAAAAAGCTCAATATTAGTCTCATCTGACCAGAGTACCTTCTTCCATATGTTTGGGGAGTCTCCCACATGCCTTTTGGCGAACACCAAACGTGTTTCTTTAAGCAATTGCTTTTTTCTGGCCACTCTTCCGTAAAGCCCAGCTCTGTGGAGTGTACGGCTTAAAGTGGTCCTATGGACAGATACTCCAATCTCCAATGTGGAGCTTTGCAGCTCCTTCAGGGTTATCTTTGGTCTCTTTGTTGCCTCTCTGATTAATGCCCTCCTTGCCTGGGCCGTGAGTTTTGGTGGGCGGCCCTCTCTTGGCAGGTTTGTTGTGGTGCCATATTCTTTCCATTTTTTAATAATGGATTTAATGGTGCTCCATGGGATGTTCAAAGTTTCGTATATTTTTTTATAACCCAACCCTGATCGGTACTTCTCCACAACTTTGTCCCTGACCTGTTTGGAGAGCTCCTTGGTCTTCATGGTGCGCTTGCTTGGTTGTGCCCCTTGCTTAGTGGTGTTGCAGACTCTGGGGCCTTTCAGAACAGGTGTATATATACTGAGATCATGTGACACTTAGATTGCACACAGGTGGACTTTATTTAACTAATTATGTGACTTCTGAAGGTAATTGGTTGCACCAGATCTTATTTAGGGGCTTCATAGCAAAGGGGGTGAATACATTTGCACGCACCACTTTTCCATTATACATTTTTTATACTTTTTCTTAACACATTATTTTTTTCATTTGACTTCACCAATTTGGACTATTTTGTGTATGTCCGTTACATGAAATCCAAATAAAAATCCATTTCAATTACAGGTTGTAATGCAACAAAATAGGAAAAATGCCAAGGGGGATGGATACTTTTGCAAGGCACTGACATAAATCCATGCTTTGGTTTAGTTTTGTTTCCACATACAATATTTTAGCGTTTCTGGCACAAATCTTTTTCATGTCATGGGACCGATACTAGCATTTTTCATGCATCATGTTGAAATAATCTATAAGGGACTTTGTTGAGCTTCACAATCAATTTTAGATACTTTTGGATGATTTGGACATGATGCACGAAAAATGCTAATATCGGTCCCATGACTTGAATGGGATTTGTGCCACAAATGCTAAATCATTAGCATGTGGAAACAGTGCCAGGGAAACTAAACCAAAGCATGAATTGCTGGAAACCAATGTGTCATTTTGTAATTTGGGTGAAATATCCCTTTAACAACATAATTTTACAAGCGTCTTTAGCCTATTGAGATGTGCTATGCGTGTCTTACCTCGCAGGAGACCCTGGCAGCACCCTTTATGATGCAGTGGGCGTTGACGTCACAGGGGTTGAAGCCAAGCGTGGCGCAGGACCTCCGCAGGAAACAGCCCACAGTCTGGTTGCCCACGAAGCTCTCCTTACACGGACCACACCTGAACGAGCCCTGAGGTGGGAGGGCGAGATGGAGGAGGGAGTTGGGGGAAGACAGAAGGGGAGAGAGAGGGAGACAGAGAGATAGACACAGAGAAAGGGAATCATGTATTTATTTTAAGTGATAAAAGTATTTCACCTAGCAACCTCTGACTCCCTTTCCACTACTGACCTCTGTGTTGATGCAGACAGAGTTGGGCACGCAGGTTTTGGAGAGGTCAGCACACTCATCCACATCTGTGCACTTCTACATAGACAGACAGAACACAACAATTTAAGGACAAGACATATCAGACCACCTATTATCATGGCCATAGAGGCAATCACTTTGACACAGTGCACATCCATGTATACAGTGGGTGAGAAGAGGTGTCAATAGTGGTGGTGGTGTGTGCATGTGCAAGGCTTCTGTGTGCGTGTGTATGTGTGTGTGCACAAGTGTGTGTGTGTGTGTGTGTGTGTGTAGGGTTAGGGAAAATAGGATTTTTAATGGTCAGACATTTTTACACTCCAAAAAGACATTTCACGAAAACAAAGTGTGTGTGTGTGTGAGGCAGGGGGTATTATGTTGATCAGACCTGCTTGTGGCTCTTGGCGAACTTCACCCCAAGCCCGCTAAGGAGGGGTCCTGAGAAGCCGGCTGGACATGGTTCACAGGTGAAGCCCTTTGCCGTGTTTACGCACCCGTCGGGCGAGAAACAGGGCCGGGCTAGAGCACACTTAGACATAGAGAGAGAGAGAGAGAGAGAGACAGAAAGTAACAATACAATTATCAGTGTATTCTGTTTTTTTTCTTAATTTGATGAAGATTGGTTGCCAAACATCAACTTTCTAATTGTTACTCTCTTGCAGCTGGGTTGTCGAGGGAAATAATGTGCCACCTTAGCTACAAAGCTTTTGGGAAACTCACCCTGGAATGTTAAGGAAATGATGGGAACATATAATGCTATCATCTTGTGGTGCCAAATAAATAGAAATAGGACCCTTAGAATACCTCATCAATGTCCTGGCAGTGGGTGCCATTCCCCATCATGCCATCTGGGCAGGCACCACAACGGTACCCTGGGTACTCCCGGGTGTCTGTACAGGGCACGCTCTTATAGCAGGGGTTGGGCTCACAGCGAGAATGGGTCTCGTGGAAGCCTGGTTAACAAAGATATAGAACATACCAGGTCTGGATTAAAAATAGGATTAGAATTTTTTTTGCATGCTTTCGAGCCTGCAAAGAGTGCCATATGGGCAGGGTTTGTACTTAAAGGGGCAGTCTGCAGTTGTTACATCAATTTTTGAACTTATAAATTAATTATATATATATCCATTGATTCTTGAAGAATATAACTTATAAATGCTTAATGAGCTTAGTTCAACTGTCGCATCCCATCAGAACCCAAAATATAAGCTTGTTTTACTCCAATGTAAACAAATTAAATGTAAACACACACTGTATAGCCTCAAAACTATCATTTTAGTATCATGGATGGTCAGTCCTTGCATCCATAGCTCTGTCTATGAATTTGAGAGTGGTTACATTTCTCCAGCCCCATCCCTCAGCTTTTTACCGAAACAGTGGCGGGGAACTCTTATTTTTTGGGTTGCAACTGCAAATTGAAAGGGGCAATTTTTCCATTGGTTCCATTGCGCCAGGCAAAATCAATCAAACACAGCTAAAGTATTTCATAGATTTCAATCTCTGTCTCTCCCTCTGATTTCCTGTGCTTCTCAACTCTTTTTGTTTATCTTTTGTTTATTTGATCTTCTCCCCTCTGTTCTATACACTGAGGCCCAGCCTGACGGTATAGTACTGCTCTTCATGCACTCACCACACACTTGGCACTCCAGGATGGTGTTCCTAATCAGAGACATCTCCTTTACCTGTGAAGATCACAAACATACAGCAGACACCAGAACTGTTTCATTTATTCAACTGTATTTGTACGTATACTGTAGTTACTCTATAGTACAGGGGTATTCAACCGGGGTAGGTACTACAGGGGGTCAGCACATTAAATTTTTTTAAGTGGAAAATGTCATGTTTATTTAATGAATATCGCTAGTAACAATACAATTAACTAATTTAGAATGGCATACCCACAGTAGAAAAGGGGATGATATCTTCTTTCTAATGATGTCAACTTTATTTCTCAACTCCTAATATTGAACAATGTACACTCATTGGAGCCAATTACACTCACTGGAGTATCTGACATAGGCTTTGAAAAGGCACCCGCGAATAGGCTACCAGTGCGGCTGGCTGCACTTAAGCTTTCTTGACTTAAGACATTAATTTTTGCAAACCGTTGTTTAGCCAGCTAAACAGCTGCTCTTAGCAAAAATGTGTTTGGAGTAATCTTTCTTGCTAATAGGCTATAATGTCTGGGGAGGTCAAAATAATGAAAAACGATCTAGCAAAACTATTCATTTTAAAATGTTGATTACTTCTCCTTGCCTGATGATAAGAGAATACATATAATGGGGGTCCCTGTGTCACCGGTTTGCCTGGGAGGGGGTCCCTGGGCAAGAAAAGCTTGAAGACCCCTGCTATAGAACACTGCCATCTCTCAAACAGTTACGTTCTTGTTTATGTGAGCACACAATTGTTGAACCTGTTGAATTGTTTCCTCTCTCTTTCTTTCCCCTCTCGCTCTCTTTTAGTCCCCTCTCACCCTCACTCCCTGTGCCTCTCATCCAGTCAACCCCCCCCCCTCTTCCCCCTCTCACTCTCTCTCCATCTCTTACCTGTTCCCTGATGTCCTCTCGGAGTTCGCCCAGGATCTGATTGAAGATGATCAGCTGGCCAATCAAAGCCTTGGTGTGGTCACCTGACACAGTGATGTCCAAGCATTAGAACATAAGCACAGGGAAACCATTTAAGTAAATTATAGCATTATACCGGTAACTATAATTGTTAGGTAGCATTTGGGTAGGGGGAGGTTGATAAACCAGAGTGTTTCTGATTGATACTCACCCAGAATGGCATTGACATCGGCGGCAACTATGGAGACAAGAAAGTCCACTTGAATCATTTCAATCACAACACAATACACTACTCATGTTAATATACTATTCCTAACAATGCCTTTCACAGACATGAACTAGTACATGTAAACAGAGATGGAAAAAGGACAACCAGACAATTATAAGTTAGTTACGTGGGCTCACCACTAGAGTGAGTTATAGTGATAAGAATACAGTACTGAGATTAGCTTCTGCTGACCAAATACCTAAGGTGACGTTTGGGTAGGAGGAACAAGTGGATGGAAATATATATCACCAGATATCAAAGTGACCAGTCTCTATATAGACGGGTTGCCGCCCACAATGTACCAATATTCTGGTTTACATGTCTGTACGTAATAAATGTCAGTTTGGCATAGAGGAAAGGGCGGAGTTGGGACATCCGGCTTTCCTACATCACTGCCTTATCTGCTTGTTGCCCTAGCGTAAACTTCCCCCGGACACAAAATAGTAGCTAGCAAGATCATAGGTTATTTTTAATGAGTGCATTTTCGCAAGTGGCTAGCTTCCATCAACTACCTTTACTAAAACCACTGCAAAGGTTTTACCTGCAAATTTTGGTTTCGAATCGTGACGTTCTGGCATGTCTGCCTCGTGATTTGTTGGGAGAGTCATCTGTCTTTTTTTGTTTTTTTGTTACCAAGACAATACGTCATTAATCCCAGATCTAGTGATGTTGCTCCTAGGTCTGGGTTTCCGAGACTAAAGTGAATATTACGTTATACACTGAGTATACCAAACATTAGGAACACCTTCCTAATACTGAGTTGCGCCTAGGGCTGTGGCGGTCACAACATTTCGTCAGCCAGTGAATGTCAAGCAAATAACTGCTGGTCTCATAGTAATTGACCGGTAATTAACATAAACGCATTTAGCATCTTCTGACTTCCACACATAGCCTACAAGCTACTGATGCAGACCTTAGGAACATCTACATTTTAAAAAGTATAATAAATCCATGTAATATAGCCTACACCTTTACAATAAATCCATTATTTATTTTAGACAGGTCTAAAGAAACATGATATGAAGACAATGTAGTCTATTTCAGAAGAACAGAATAGCATACTCTAAGTTGTCCTTATGTTAGGTACTGATTTACATTTTACATTTTTAGTCATTTAGCAGACGCTCTTATCCAGAGCGACTTACAGTTAGTGAATACATATATTTTTATACTGCCCCCCGTGGGAATCGAACCCACAACCCACAACTATCAACTGAGCTACATCCCTGCCGGCCATTCCCTCCCCTACCCTGGACGACGCTGGGCCAATTGTGCGCCGCCCATGAGTCTCTCGGTCGCGGCCGGCTGCGACAGAGCCTGGATTCGAACCAGGATCTCTAGAGGCACAGTTAGTACTGCGATGCAGTGCCTTAGACCACTGCGCCACTCAGGAGACGTGCTGATCTGGCTATGCCATATGGCTGTGGGCTACACTAGTTCATCTAGCAGACAAGATTTGCATAGAATTCCGTGGCATTATTGTATAGTATAAAATAGAAAGGATATTTTCTCCAAACGATTTGAGGGAGTGTGCACATGCAGCTAGTCTGTGTTGAGTGGTTAATAATAATAATAATATAATATGCCATTTAGCAGACGCTTTTATCCAAAGCGACTTACAGTCATGCGTGCATACATTTTTTTTGTGTATGGGTGGTCCCGGGGATCGAACCCACTACCTTGGCGTTACAAGCGCCGTGCTCTACCAGCTGAGCTACAGAGGACCACAAAGTTAACAAAGAAACAGGTACTCCTACATGCTTAATTTGATCTGATTTGTGATACAAAGGTTGGGCTATATGTTTTGATTTTTAATACATTCTAAGGCTGTATGACCTGACTAATGATGATTTGAAAAAAGTTGCATGAAAGGCATGAGTTCTGCTTTGTTTTTTGTGCAGGCTGTACACACTTCATCAGTCTCTCATTCACAATTTGACAAGCACTTGATAATGCCTCGAATCCCCTTTGTGTTGCCGTAATTCCCCCTAAGAAAATCCATGCCTTTTGCGACCAGTGGCTGTTGTGCCCTTGGGCTGAATATAATAATTATAATTCCTTCTCCCTGCGTGCTGCTTGCTTCGACGCACCTCTCACTATCCCCCATAGTACAAAAGTTGGCCTATTCTATTCTGTGCGAGAAATAAATATTCCAAACATAGTCGGGGACAGTTGTGGGATGCGATAGATCACAAATTAATACAACAAAACCTTTCTTAAGCAATTAGGCTGACGAAACAGATCAGAACGTTTACCTTAAAATGTTGATAAACTATTAGGCTATTTCTTCACATTAGAAGCGTAGCCATGTGCACACGGCAGTAGGCTATAAGCGCAAATGTTCCATTAGCGGGAAAACACCATTATCAAAAGTGACCGTACATGCAATTTAGCATGTAATGCTTTTATTATAAAGGTGATAATATATAATTCACAAGTGATAGGCTAATATTGTCACCCATCAGACTATTCTTGATTTAATCTTGTCTTTACATATACTAAATAATATATGTGTGAATTTGTTTTGATTTAGAATGGACCATTATCATGCACCGTTCTCGAAACAGGGGGGGAAAAATACATGTCATCTATGCACTTAAATAGCGAATAGAGGACG